GTTGTGGGTCGCGTGTATCGTCCTTGTATGGTGACCATCGGGGTTTGGAGACCCGAGTGGATCCTTTTTTGCTTGGTATGTTAGATTTTGATGTGATATTGGGTATAGACTGGTTGTCTCCGTGTCGTGTTATTCTAGACTGTTGCGTTAAGACGGTGACGTTGGCTATGGCGGGGATGCCACAGATTGAGTGGCGAGGTTCAACGAATTATGTTCCTAGTAGGGTGATTTCATTTTTGAAGACCCAGCGGATGGTTGGGAAGAGTTATCTTACTTATTTGGCCTTCATGAGGGATGTCAGTGTAGAGACTCCTACCATTGATTCGGTTCCGGTGGTGAGGGATTTTTCCAGATATGTTTCCTGTTGTCGGGCATGCCTCCGGATAGGGTTGTTGATTTTGGTATTGATTTGGTGTCGGGTATTGTATCGTAGGGCACCGGCGGAGTTAAAGGAGTTGAAGGAGCAACTTCAGGAACTCCCTGATAGGGGGTTCACTGGTAGACCTATATGGATGTGTGTTCTGCATTGAGACGGCTTTGTTGACTCCGAGTTGCTATTGTTGAGAGATGTGTTGATTCGGTTGTTATTGAATGATATGTGTTGGGGTGATCTATGAGTTATTTTTCTGTGTTGCGAGGCGTTATGATTTGCTGGTTATAGGTACCTATGGTGCGGTTCTATTTGGGCCTCATGGTGGAATTCGAGCGGGAAGAGTATCGGGTATTGCTCGGTGGATGCCGTATTGGTTATGTCCTTTCGGGTTGTGTGGTGTTATGTCATTTGCTTTTCCATGGTTATGATGATTTGCTTTTCATATTAGAAATCAAATTGCGTGTGGTTGTTGATTTTGAGCACAGTAACTTGAGGTGTTTCATGCAGACCAGTGTTCGGATAGGGTCGTGCATTGCAACAAAGTTATACAGAAATATGATCCTTCGGGTTGGATTCGTGTGATCTGGTTCTACGATGTGTGATGGGTTCTCAACATTGTATTATGGTAGTACTGGTGAGCTTGCGGTACAGCTCTCTCCTTTAAGTCACTTTTCCGTGGTTTGAGTACATTTGGACTGTTGCTTATTTATGTGCGGGTCGCACGGGTTGTGGATCTAGATTGTATCGATGTGTCATGTCACTAGAGCAGTCATGTTGGATGAGATGAGGTCATTGATATCTAGAATGAATACTATCGGGATTCGATTTCAGCATGTTGGAAGGATAATATCGAGATTCGGCTCAGAAATCTATTATGGTCCTTGCCAAAGGAGAGAGAGCTTCATGACTGGTTGATCTGAGGAATGGTTATGATTCTGCGTGTTTCTTTCATCATTGGCAGTATACGGAAGTGTTGAAATGAGGCTTTATTTGATAAGAGGTTTATTATCAGTATTCGGTTGTTTTGAGCAATTGCTGTGATTTGAAGTCCTCGCTATAAGTGTTCGAGTTGTATGGTATATCCTGTGGTTTCCATCTTGAATTGTGGTTATGGCTTGCTACAACGTGTTCATATTTATTCGGTGTGTAGATGTGAGATTATGATCTTATAGATAATTTCGGAAGCGGAAATTTAGTTCTAAGGTTTATGGGCTAGGTTGGAGTGTGAAATTTCAGTTACATTGTACTATCGGACCTATATGAGACAGGGTGACGTGGGATCACCCCTGTGTATGTGCATAGTAAAGTTATATAGCGACTTCATGGTTTTCGGAACAACTCTGGGCACGTTCGAGGACGAATGTATATTTAAGTGGGAGAGAATGTAACGACCCGATCGGTCGTTCCGAGAGTTATAGCCCTGTTTCCCCCATTTCTATTTCTTTATATCTTGTTCACCTGTATTATGTGGTATCGGGTTAGTTGATTGGGGTTCAGGGTGTTCTTGGAGAGGTTTGAGGCACTTAGTCTCTTTTGAGTAAGCTTAAGTGGAAAAGTCAACTAGACATTGACTTAGGTGAAAAAGGGCTCGGATGTGAATTTTGATGGTTCAGATAGCTTTGTTAGGTGATTTGGGACTTAGGAGCGTGATCGGAACGTAATTAGGAGGTCCGTGGTAGATTTAGGCTTGAATTGGCGAAGCTGGAATTTTGGCGCTTTCCGGTTGGTAGTGGAAATTTTGATATCGGGGTCGGAATGGAATTTCGGAAATTGGAGCAGGTCCGTTGTGTTATTTGTAATGTGTGCGCAAAATTTCACGTCATTCGGAGGTGGTTTGATTGACTTTTTGATTGTTTGCGGAATTCGGAGGTTTTGGAAATCTTAGGCTAAAATCCGAGGGTGTTTTGATGTTTCGATGTTGTTTGGAGTGTTCCTAAGGTTGGTATAAGTTTGAATAGTGTAATGTGACTTGTTCGTACTTTTGGTTGAAGTCCCGAGGGTCTCGGGATGATTTTGGATGGTTAACGGGAAGTTAGGGAATTTGTTGGAGCATCTTCAGCTGTTGAGTTTTCTGTCATAACCGCACCTGCGGATTGGGGACCGCAGGTGCGGGCCTGCAGAAGCACAAGGGGGCCGCAGATGCGTAAATGGGCGAGAGAAGCTGGAACCGTAGATGCGGATGTTTGAGCGCACCTGCGATAGCGTAGGTGCGGGATTTTGATCGCAGGTGCGGTCCTTGGGCAGTTAAGTGAATTCCGCAGATGCGCACTTGGGACTGCAAGTGCGAGATTTCGACCGGAGAAGTGGTTTAGCTGGGACAGAACATATAAATTTAGCCCTTCGCGATTTTTGAGTGGTTTTTCACCATTTTTCATGCGGGTTTGAGCTTGGGAGAGCAATTCGAAGAGATAATTCAAGGGGGTTTCGTGGAGGTAAGATTTTTGGACCCTAAACTTGTTTCTATGATGGTTTTTGACTGATTAAGCTTGAAATATACGGAAATTAGTAGCCAAAAATTGGGGGTTTAGGGCTTGAAAATTGGAGATCTTAATCTAGGGATTTGAGGGGTTATTTGTGGTCGGATTTTGGTATTCTTGGTATGTATGAACTCATGAGAGTGTAAAGATTCTAGTTTTGTAAATTTTATCGGAATCCGAGATGTGGGCCTAGGGGTCGGGTTTGACCAAATTTGGGATTCTTGATGTAAATTGATTATTTTCACATGGGCTTCATTCCCTTAGCATATATTGATGCTGTAATTCTGATTTTGGATAGATTCGACGCGAGTTGAGGCCGAGTCTAGAGGCAAGGGCGTCGTGGAGTAGTATTTCATGCGGTTTGAGGTAAGTAACCAATGTAAATCTGGACCTGAGGGTATGAAATCCCGGTACTTCGTATTGTTTTGATAAATGAGGTGACGCACATGCTAGGTGACGAGCGTGTGGGCATGCACCGATAGGCATTGTGACTTGGTCTGTCCCGTAGCGACTATTAAGCTGCGTATTTGATTTGAAATCTTATGATATCACGTATTTTAGAGATTGATACTATATTATGGGTTGTACGCCGTGTTTGGGGCCTTGTGCCGATCTGTTTAGACCCTTAGGGGTATTTTTACTACTTTCCTCACTCTGTTTGATTTGAAAGCATATCCTCAGCCATGTTTTACCTATTATTTGTTTAAAACCGATTTCATCACTCTGTTTCTTAGTATATGAAAATTGTTTGGGCTGAGTTCCCTGATTTTTAGTGATATGCCCGAGTGACCGTGAGGTTAATGACTGAGAGAGGTTTAGGACCTAATTGTGAGGATTATATATCTATGGATCGGGCTGCACGCCGCAGCGATATTATATATACGGATCGGGTTGTATACCGCAGCAATATATATATATGGACCGGGTTGCACGCTGCAACGATATATATTGGATCGGGCTGCGCGCCGCAACGATATGACGCTTGGGATGTAGGAGCTCCTCCGGAGTCTGGACACCCCCAGTGAGCGTAGTTGACTATAAACTATGGATCAGGCTGCACGCCGCAACGATAATATATATACACTATGGATTGGGCTACACGCCACAGTGGTTATTATTATTATTATTATTATTATTATTATTATTATTATTATTATTATTATTATTATTATTATTATTATGAGACATCTATTGAGCTGGAGTGCTGAGTGTGAGCACTGATTGACGAGAGCTGAGCCACGAGTGACTGAGAGGCTGCCCGAGAGGCTATACTTCTGAGTGATACCTTGCCCGAGGGGCCCATTTATGACATTTTGCTGCTTTCACTATTCTTTCTATACTAAGCATGGGTTGAAAAAGGTTGAATAAATGATTTTGAAGTATTTTAATTGAAACTGAAGTTTTATGAGATAACTGGCTATGGAACTGCTGATTTTGACTTGATATTCTGTTGAAAACTCTTTATGATTTTAAATTGCTCGTCATTGCACTCAGACCTTATTTACTTTAGTTACTTACTGAGTTGGCGTGCTCACGTTACTCCCAGTACCTTGTGTGCAGATCCAGGTGCCCGAGAATCAGACTGAGAGCTTCCAGCACTCTCAGAGTTTATCCGGAGATTGCAAGGTAGTTGCACGGCGTTCGCAGCCCTGCCTTCCTACTTCCAATTTTAGTATTTTGTTGCTTCGGACTTATTTTGTATTACTCAGACAGTGTCTTGGTTGTATTTAGAGGCTCATGACTAGTGACACCGGATTTGGGTTGTGTTAGTGTATTTCATACTGTTCCGCATATTTCTGTTGATTTTCATTTTACTTATGAAAGCTTGAGACTTAATTGTTTTTGAAAAATGATTTTATAAAAGGAATTTGATGTGGTAAGTGTTGGATTGACTTGCCTAGTATTGTGATAGGCGTCATTATGACCGGGGTATTTGAGGTTGTGATAGAAGTATTGTTATATAGTAATGCTATTATATAGAGGTCTGACTGTATCTACGTTATAGTTTATTAGCTCAAATAGCTTATTGACGTCTTGAGAATAAATTGCCGGCTACTTGATTAAAGAACACGAAATAATCAAAAGATTCTTTTTTGACGACTTTGGATATCAATAAACACACGCGCGCACATTATTATCACTATTAATAAGCGAGAACCGAGAGGAGCTTCCGGTTCACTAAATTTCCCCAAAAAAATCATAGAATTTTACTTTACTCCATTTTGGTCCATGTTTTCTATTAGCGCCCCCAGCTTGTACAAAAGCCCAACACCTGTGAATTCATATGGACGATTGTGCACTTCTCTCTTCTTCTCTCCGTGTTCTCTATTTTTTGTGTCATTTTTCGCTCTAGTCGGTTTTCTCAGCTGCTTCTCCTGCCAGGTGAGTGCTAAAATTTGTTATTCACTGTTCAAATTGACAATTATTTGGGTCCTTTGTTGGGTTAACTCTGTTTTCGCTGATGTCTGTGTGGTTGCTTCTTTTAGGATTACTGCAATTTGTAGAGTCTTATATGCTTGAGTATTATGGGGGGGGGGGGGTTTTT